CTGCTCACACTGTACGTCCAAAAACCACAAGACAGACCGAGCACCGACAGATGGTGCTGGTCGGACTCGTCATTCTGGAGAAGAACTCCCTTGTTGGCACATGCGCAGTGCTGGAGGTTTTGGTAAATCGCCTTGTAGACGCTAGTAGCTCTCCATCAACACCAGGATTTGTCCACTAACACTTTACGATGGCGACTGAATTTCAAACATGTTTGATTTTCTCCCGACTTTACCATTCCTGATTGGTAGGTGGTCACGAGAGGCTGATCACCCCTTGTACACGACGCATGACTCAGGATGAGGCTGAAACTCGGCCTGATCAAAAAATTCTCGCACAACTGGGGAATCGCCTGAAAAGGGCAAAAAAATCATACAGTGTATGTCAGGCTTTATTGGGCGTAGTGATTTCTGTAACCCGGTGTCCCCATTTCATATTGTGGCTCTTTTTGTATTGCACCCATGCTTACTTACATTTCTGTACCTGTGTATTTAACTAGTAATTCACATTGTGGGGTTGTTTCATGTTTCTGGTGGTAGTTGCATTGCTTTTCTCATTATTTGATCACATTTTGTCCAGTTAAAACAATCCATGCCTCAGTGTATTCCTCAAGGCAAAATCGCTCAGTACCAGTCAGTATGGAGAATCTAGATACAACAGTCTTAAGGGCTTGGTACTGATTTTGTATTTTGATTTAAGCCAACACTTAAATGTACTTTCTGCTCCAAACCAGTGTATGTTTACAGTCGGAATCACACTGAAAAAGTAAACATTTAATTAAGACAACAATTTTGTTTTGTTTTTTTCTTGATTCTCTAGCTTTTACTTCCCTTCATCCTCCCTTTATTACCAACCAGCTTCCCGATCCTGCTGAAGAAAGCTACGCCGCAGCATTCTGCTAGCACCGCTGTGTTTCACAATGCAGAGGGTCTGTTCAGGGTGTTGTGCAACATTGGTTAAAAAGCTCCACACTATGGTCAGAAAATCGTGTCGGACGAGATGGTGGCGTTTAGCGCTTATTGTAAGTCAATGGGGATGTTCACACCTGACACGATTTTACGCAAGGGGGCTGTGTAGGGCCAACTAATATTAACCCCAGGTTTATATTAAATGGACTAGGCACAAATACTGCAACAATTTCATGGGTCTGAGGGTAAGAGAAACGCAGTTTAAAAGTGATACACATCTGCTTTGGGGAAAAATACAAAATAAAGTCTGTTAATCGGGAAAAAATGATGAGTTTGGGAGTCGTGTATGTATGTATGTATGTATATATATATATATATATATATATATATATATATATATATACATAAGTGGGAGAGACTCATGCAAAAAGCAATGAATGAAACTTAAAAAAAAATAATACTAATCAAGTAGTGATCCTCTTTGAGCCTTGCAAAAACAACTGGGACAGAAGTTTATAAAAAAATAAAAAAATAACTTTAGGAGATCAAACGGATATAGTAAAACATAAACAGCGGGCAGATAGAGCAAGGTAGTGCGGTTAGTCTTAGACTTTATCTTCTTTTTGTACACACAGAGTGTATACCAAAATAAATTTTATTCAGTACAGCTATTAAGACATTTAAAATGTAAACAAACGACTATATGATTTACAGTTTCCAACAGCTCTTTCACCTCTTTGAAGAAAAAAAAAAGATCCATATTTTGACATGGATCTCCGTATTATTTCATTATAGGCATATGAACATTCTCTGTTCTGGTTTGAGATGCTGCATGGACTCGTTAAGTGAGGATTTGCTTCATAGCTGCGCTGGTATTTTTAAAAAATTTTTTCACTTTTCATGATCTGTCCAAGTCAAATGGGAAGTGGAGTATGTTGTCAGTAGTGTATGATCTGCACAAAGCATTAAGGCTTTTTAACTGTTTTTCTTGCTTTTTTTTTTTAGGGGCCCTAAGCAGTGTGATCATCAGTGATGTCTGACTCCGACTCTGGGCAAGCATCCATGGAGGTCACCCATAAATTGCAGGAAGGGGAGAACATCTCCAACCTGCCGGATATTCTGCCCATAGACCGCCCTGCTTCATCACCTCAGTCCTGCTTAACCAGACCAGGGCCTGATCTTACCGGCCAAATGGAAAGTAAAGCCATCTCCATGGCGAGCAATGAATGTAGCTCCGCTCGTTATTCACCTGCTGAAGCAAGCCCAGCCAAGCCTGATGTTGCACCTTCATCTACTCTGGAAGAGCGTTTTGACCAAAGCCCTGCTACCTCACAGATAGAATCTGCAACAGACTCTCTAAAGAGCCCAGAACCCAGCTTGATTTCCATTTCTAATTCTCCACCTTGGGTTTCTATGTTGTCTTCTACCACCTTTGGCTGTTCAGACTCTGTGAAAGACTTTCCTGCTGTGTTGTCTTACAAAGGTGTCAGTGTCACGCTGGAGAATAACGGCATATGGAGTCAGTTCAGCAAGCTAGGAACTGAGATGATCCTCACCAAACAGGGTCGTCGAATGTTCCCTTACTGCCGGTACCGCATTTCTGGTCTAGACCCTGATCGGATGTACAGTCTTGTCCTGTCGATTGTTCCATCTGCTCAGTACAGGTATCGGTGGAACGCATCTAAATGGGAGGTCCACGGGCCGACAGAGCACCAACCCCAGAGGCTGATCCGGGCCTTTCCTCACCATTACTCCCCCTGTCTGGGCTCAGAGTGGATGAACTGCCTGGTGTCGTTCTATAAACTCAAGCTGACTAATTGCTTCCAAGACCAAGATGATCATATGATCCTGCACTCCATGCATCGCTACATTCCCAGGCTTCACGTTATTCCAATTCTCGACGGGGAGCCCCCCTCAGCAGACAGACCTATGGTGATGGGACCTGAGAGCATCACCTTCACATTCCCCCAGACTGAATTCATGGCCGTGACAACCTATCAAAACTTCAGAATCACCCAGCTGAAAATCAATCACAACCCATTTGCCAAGGGTTTCAGGGAGGACGGGAACAACCCCCGTCTTAACAGAGTACTTCCACCCGCTGCAAGGACAGAAACCAGAACTGAGGTTCTGACACTTGCTGAGCCCATCTACCAGCCACAGGAGGTGACAGATTTGAGGTAAGCTGGTCATTTTTTCCTGTTTCTAAAATAATTCTAAGTAACAAAAAGCATTGCTTCAGTCTGAACCAATATCTTTGGATTTTCCATGATAGATTCAAGGTTTAAAATGCACTTCCACTACTATTTAGTGAAATGTTCCTTAGCATGTTGGAGAGAAATCACATGTAAGAACAGCTATGATTGATAATTGAACAACTCATCAGATGTAAATGATATTGGTCATTTAAAATTGTCAAAGTCCTAATCACCAAGCTAAGTTGAATTAAAGACTTCCAAAGTCGTCGTCCTAGAACCTAATCAGGCACTGAGCATGATGCTACCCCCTCCATGCTTGGGTGATGAAAGTATTGCTGCAACTATCAATTATTGTGCAACTCGATTATTCTGTCAATTATTTTTACGATTTTATTTGATTAATAATCGGATAGCCAAAGGTTCCTTAAAGAAGACTTTTGCTAAATCAAACCAGGTGAAACTAAAACTTTTCCACATGAGGAGTTCTGGATAGAGAATATTTAAAGCGAAAAAGATTTTTATCTTAAATGTGAAATGTTTACATACATAATCTTTATAATTTAGGTATAATAACTGTTCTAAGTGGGTCGCTCTGTCTGCTAAAGGTTTTTTTTTTTTTACAGTCTATACTCCAGTTAATGATTAATTGATTACTAAATTAGGTGACGATTATTTGACCATCAATATTTATCGATTTTAGTGGCTGGCCAATATAATCCCATATTAATTTTTTGGGTGATATCAGATAAATTTCTGATACCTATATCGGATCAGGATTGCCCTACTAGAGATTGATAAATCATAGAGAAAAAAATGAAGGAAAACAGGAGCAGTTAGTACTTGGGCTGTACAATTTAGCCTAAAATCAAAACAGCCATTGTTTTCATCCAATATTGCAATATTCTTTTTATTTTCCTTTTCACTAATCACAAGCTTGTTGTGGTTTGACTCCATGGTGTCAGTGTTTTCATTACGTTAAAAGCTTGCTCGTCCAAAGTCCATTGTGGCAGGACTTTACTGTAACCTTTGTTAGAAAAAGTGCTTACTTCTTGCATGCAAAGATCTGCTTGCTAGCTGGAAGTTTTTCTTTTCCTTTTTTGTGGCAGCAAACCCTCTTTAAACATATTACCACCAACTGAAAGGCTGGAGTAGGAGAAAAAAATAGTCTAAGTTTTCACATGTACTGGAGCTTTTTTAATCTTATGATGCTGAAAGAGCATTGTGATCGTGGATAGAAATAAAAGAACTGATCATAAGATGGACAATTTCAACTTTGATAGCAATAGAATAGGAATTTGATGTATTGGTGTTTCAAAGTTGTAGGGAAGTCATATTTAAATGTCAAATCATTCTGGCTTAAACATGTATATAAATGTACGGTACTCTTTATCAGACCATATTGTCCCAAAAGTTAGAACATTTCTATAAAAAAAAAAAAAATCCCGTCTTAAAATCTGTGGGGGTTTTTTTCTGTTATTTTATGCAGGCCAGTTAGTTATACATCAGCTTGTACACCTAAATTCGGCCAATCATATATCAACTGTCATCTGTCAATCAAATTTTTTTGGTAATAGCATCTTGATTCGTATGTCGCAGCTAATATACGCAGCGGTTAAAATATATATCGTATATACTGTAGATCTGGGCTCTAACAATAGGTGTTAGTTATTCACATGAACAGTTTTATTATAATTCAATATATTAAAATATTTCAGAGCTTTAGAAACAAGCATTAAAGGTTAAAAATCAAACCTATACCTAATGGGGAGATGCTTTAAAATTCCAGTCAAAGACCACTAGGGGAACAGCTAGACAAACCAAGGCTAGTTGCTCTAATTTTCTCACAATACATTCAGCTTTTTTCTCATTTAAATGTAAATGTGTTTATAACCAGCCACTGTTTAATAACTGAAAGTCAGATGATTGCCTCATAGCTGTCATAATTGTACAAGTTGATGTAGTTGTTCATCGTTGGCATAACAGTGAAATGACAGATTATGTTTGGTTTGATTGATTGAAGTCAGCGGTGAAGCTAGGCATTCTCATCATCAGGGGCTTAGCCCACAAAATCTTTCATCATTACCATGGCGATTTGGTCTGCCAAAAGACATAAGATTGAGTATGTTGGGTGGTCATAAAAACTAATTAAAAATTTTGGAGTTACATATCTAAAAGTTTATCCTGGGCATATGCTTTAAGCCTGGCATACACTGCCAGGCTTAAAGCGATTTTCCAGTCATGGCGATTTTCCAGTCATGCAAGAACCATTCGATCAGGCCGACTTTCAGCCTGATAGTGCGTCGTGTAGTGTACAGGGGGTTACGAGTGGCAATCAGCCCCTCATGACCACCTCCTGATCAGGAATAGCCGTGTTTCAGTCACGTGACGATTATGACGCGGCCAGGGGGCGCGATTTCAGATGGAGGGCAGGAAGTCTATGAAGTTAGTGTAAACATGGAGGATACCGTTACCGAGAGCCCGTATTGTATGGAGTTAGAGCCTGTTTCAAGACACAGATACAAGGAGTTGATATACAGATATGTTGGACGTGACCCGTACCTCATGAAGATGAGTGAGTTTTCGGTGGACCTTAAAGATTTGCCGACAGTGGAGGCCGTCGACATAACGAACTATCTGGTCCTTCAGACGTCGTATTACACCAAACAGCAAATGAAGGCCTTTAAATGTATGAAGGCATATAACTTCTTTGTCAGCGGGTGGGTCCACAACCTCGGCACCAAACCTCTCCACAACGATTATTGTCTAGTCTTCGCCAGGGTGAGTGTTTGTTCTTATATTGTTTTATGTGTTAAAAGATGCTAGCGTTAGCAGTAGCGGCTAGCCTCACAGTTGTTTATGTTTCTCTCGTTGAAGACATGCTTCTGATTTGGGCTTAGTTTTTTGATAACCGAGGTTGACCGTCGGAGCCCAGTCTACCGATTCAACGTCACCCAAAGCGCTAGGACAGCATAAACAGTCACAATGAAGTCCATATTAGACTACCGGTAACTTATTAATCATTACTAAGTACATGAGCATTTAATGATAACCTTATGCTATATAAACACAACCACAAAAAAAAGTTAGCTAGCTAACATAACGTTATAGCTTACCTCCGACGAAGTGGTCACTGCAGACACGGGCATTGGCAGACTCTGCTGACGTAGGTTTAGAATCCATTTTTTTCGGCGTTGTTCTGTGAGCTTTTTACAATTTTCACCTTTATGGACGACAATCTTTGGTACTCTGTAAAAGCTCTTTTCCTTTTCTCGGTTAGAACGATTGGAGCAGCCGTAAACTACACAAAACATAGGCATTATTTCAGACGGCAGATCCTCAGCTACTTCACTTCCTGCCCTCCATCTGAGTTTTGCGGGCTCGTGACGCAGCACTGTGACGTCACGTGAAACCAAGCTATTGGGAGCTCGGGAGAATATCAAACATGCTTGATTTTCTCCTGATGGTCAAGGCCAAATCAGATCTAGATGGGATTGGGCACACGCAAAGAAGGATTCTTCTTTTTAATTTTCCTCTCAGATGTAAACACAGCAGCATGGCAGGGATGCAATGAGTGAAATGCAGCTCAGTCTCTAAAATTGACGGACCTGTCTGCCTGTCATCATTCCCCCTCTGATAAACCAGAACGATGAGAAACATATTATTTAAAATAGAATTTTACTTGAAACTTGATTTGATATATTTAAGTATCTCACATAATTATAGAGGAGTAATTAGAGCCATGTTAAAATCGGAGCATGTTTGGGGGGCAGGGGTGAGCAGGAGGTGTTGGAGGCTGAGGTCACAATGTCACCTGTTCAGCTGGTCTGACTAGTGTAACATTTTTAACATTTAAGCTTAAATGGTATAACTTTTAACATCAGAGGGAATATTGAGGTGAAATCAGGACACACTGACAGCCCAAATGCATAGTAGTTTATTTCAAATGCATTGATGTATAAAATCTAGAATAAAACCTAAAAAAACAACAACTACTAGATCCATTTTAGGAGACGGGGTTTAACAGCATTTAAAATTCAGTGGGGGGGGAAAAATTATCCGTCCAAAACCCAAGGACATAAGCTTGTAGGTCACCACAAGAAAGAGTGGCCTGCTGGTCAGTAATCAATAAAGAAAAATGTTTCTCTGAAAGAAATCTGCCAAAATATCTAAGTTTTGTTCCAAAGATTCAAAGAGTATGACTTATACCGGACAGGAGGACTCAATTGTACTCTTAAACCTGTGAGCAGGACTGAACTGTACACCGTTTCAAACGCTGCCATGAGTTCAAGCAGCACCAGGATGGTTTAGTCTCCAGGATCAACATTATCAACATTATCTCCAGGATCAACATTATAACTACTGAAGTCCAGACTGAAGATTTTCAAAAATGAAACTTGTTTCTAAAAGGACTGTAGTTGATTAAAAAAGCTTTATATTCATGTATTTAAGATGGAAAGGTCAGCGAGGTTAGCTGTTGCAGTGGGGGCCTGGTTCCCACAAGTTTACATTCGACAAGGTGAGTCGTAAAGTAAAACACATGATAACGAGAAGAAAAAAAAGTTTGGTCAAATATAACAAAAACAAATTGAGGAAACTGTAGGAACAACAGAATACACATAAAAACGTCCAAAAAGCTGATCAGGCATAAAGGAAGTGCTTCAAGGCAGTAAAGATGTTTGTGTTCCTTTTCCTACAGTTCCTACATTTTCTATTTATTTTACCATAAGTGGACAGATAATACAATTTTTGAATCAAGACCTCTTTTACAATACTTTGAAATACGTTCAGATATTTTGTCTGATGGTTGCTTTTTAAGCCACCATCGTAGCTTCAGTGGGTATCTACTGAAGCTACGCACTACAAAGCTAGGGGTTGATCTGAGCTTTTGAATCCACAGAATAATTGGATGTAGCGCTCTCCATATTAAATGTATAGTGGGGGATGTTCTTTTTCCGGGTGGATCATCAAAACAAGTGGTGCTCCTAATTGTCAATCATTCTGGTGATATGTTTACGTAAGGCCGTCCTACGTCTGACACAGTGGAAAAACTGCAAATCTTTTGGAAAGTAAGCTTGTATGAGCGATGCAAACAGGACTTTTAAAAAGAGCGGGCATGAGGAGAAATGGGCTCATACATGCTCTCTCTTATTAGGTGTTCTCTCTCTGGAGCAGGTACAGGGGTTGTGTTTTTTTGTTTTTGTTTTTTTTAAGTGTAGCGGGTTAGTTTGATAAACCAGACTAAATGTGAAATTAAATGTGTAATTTAGTCTGGCCCTGAGGAATGAGACATCGGAAGATTGTTGATGATAGCAACTCATTGTCTTTCAAACCATGTCTGTGCCTATTGGCCAACGCTCTGACCAATAAGCACAACTGACTGTGACGTAGTAAGCGTGACAGAAAGCTGGTGGGGAGTGTAAACAAACAGCCTGTTGGTAAAACAGCGAATACGTCCTCTTCAAAAATGAATGAGCGTAGAGCCTCTTCCTGCTCATGTTTCAACGAAAATCCCAAGTCTAATCTTTCTAAAACTGATTCCAAAGCAGAGTCAAAAATCGCCATCAGAGCCAGCGGTCCTTCACACATGACTCTCCAGAGAGAAGGCCGCTGCAGACGGGCTGCAGTTAGCCCTGGCTGCTGTTAGCCCCGGAGGTCCGCTGTTTGCCGCGGTCCTCTCAGTTTTGGAAATAGTTTTTTTTTATTACACATTAAATCGGTAAATGGACCATATAGTGACTCTTTAAAGTATAATATTCTCGTCTCAAATGATCTTAAAACGTTCTTTTATTGAACAACAGCAACAGAAAGAGAACTTTTAACTTTCAATGGAGCGCTCCATTGAAAGCTGCTGCTGCCGCAGTGCACGCTACTGTTCAATAGTTGTTGCCATCTTCCTTCTTGTGCTTTCTCCAGTGTTGCACAGCTTTGTTGTCACGCCCTCAAAACCCCTCCCGCTTTGCATCCAAAAATACAAAATACATCTTTGCGTTGTGGTTGGCCCGCCAGTTCTAGGGCCTGGGGCATTGATTGAGGCTAGACCACTTGATTTTGGTCAATGGCGGGTGGGGCTAGTTTACTAGGCTAGTAGAGGGTGGGTCTTTTCAAAAAGTCACGAAAATCTTCCACTATACCTTTAACATGCAGTAAGATACTTTGTTTTCCAATATGTCAGAGTTGGACTGAATATTAAATAAATTAATTGATGAGAGTAATAGTGTAGCTGGTGGACAAAACCTAGAAGGCATTTTTACCAAACTGACACATGGTGTTGGAGGGATCATGCTGAGGGGATGCTGTTATTCAGCTGGGAGAGATTTGTTGATGGGAAGGAGAGGGGACTTAAGCCCAGGACGGTCCTGGAAATCAAACCATTTAGAGGTTGTAGACGGCTTGTGGAAGTACACTTATGCATATGTGATTCAAATCATACAAAATGAATATTTGAAGATTATCCTAGATAAGGTGAAAGGATGCCAAGCTAGACTTTTAAAAGAAATAATTTTTATAAGAAAAATTACCATACTAAACCCTTTACATTCGTTAAACAGATGGTTGTTGTTAGTAAAAACAGATGTGCACCAGGGGCCAGATCAGCCTTTTCCGTTAACCTGTTGGTGTCACCAAGGTGTAAGAATGTACTACAGACATGTAATAAAACCTTTTGCTATTCTTAATTTGCTAAGTAATAATCCCTTTTGTTTATTTAGCGCAAAAAGTCAAGGTCCCTCAGCTCCATCTACAAATGCACAAGAAACGAGACTGGTGCTGAAGCCTATTATGTCCAAAACATCTGGTAATGGGGACAGATACGTTCCTTGTATGAGGGGCAAACACGCACTGGGTGATATTCTGCTCATCCAGAACCAGTCCGACGTTGAACCTAAGAAAGGAGGCCCCATTGACACCATCACGGAGAACTCAGGATCCATGATTCCCCCTAAATCAAGATCCAACAATTGTAGTTCCTCAAAGGCAGCCCCAGGAACCTCAACTCGGTTTTACAGGAGGAGGACGATGAAGAAACGTAGGAATCTGCACCTTAAAAGATCTTGGAAACTTGCGGCTATCACTCCCAAAGAAACCAACAGCCAATCGTTGAAAGTTGCCATGGAGCCAGAGCTGGATGACATCGAAGGCCTGCTGTTTGTGTCGTTCACCTCTAAGGTAAAACTAGCAGTAAGGCAAATACTAATAAGAGTCGTGTTTCGTTGGATTAAGATCGCATTTGCTACCATCATCAGGAAAATTTGCTTTTTGGGACTACTGAGATATCTCTGCTGAAAAGTACTTAAATTACTTTTTGACAGGAAGCACTTGAGGTTCACTTCAAAGACAAGTTTGTAGACGACTCTTCATCCGAACCTCCTGTCACCTTACCTGAACCGATGGAGACCAAGCAGTCTGGTAAGAACATGAACAATATTTTTCTTTTTTTTTTTTTTTAAATACACTGTGTGCTGAATTATTAGGCAAGTTGTATTTTTTAGGATTATATTCATTATTTGGCCACAATTGTTTTCTCGATCAACCCAAAAGACTCCTTAATATCAAAGTTTCATATTTTTGGAAGTTTGTGTGTTTTTTTTTTTTTTGTGTTTTTTTGGCCATTTTATGAGGATGTCTATGTGTGCAGGTAAATATTACTGTGCAGAATTATTAGGCAACGTAATAAAAAAACAAATGTATACCCATCTCACTTACTTATTTTCACCAAGTAAACCAATATAACAACTCAAAACTCATAAATAAACATTTGCAACATTCAAAAACAAAAAACAAATCAGTGACCAATATAGCCACCTTTCTTCATCATGACGCTCAAAAGCCTTCCATCCATAGATTCTGTCAGTGTCTTTATCTGTTTGCGATCCACATTGCGTGCAGCAGCCACCACAGCCTCCCAGACTGTGTTCAGAGAGGTGGACTGTTTTCCCTCCCTGTAGATCTCACATTTCATGAAGGACCACAGGTTCTCCATGGGGTTCAAATCAGGTGAACAAGGGGGCCATGTCATTATTTTTTCTCCTTTTAGACTTTTTCTGGCCAGCCACGCTGTGGTGTATTTTGATGCGTGTGACGGAGCATTGTCCTGCATGAATATCATGTTTTTCTTGAATGGTTCTTCTTGTACCACTGTTTGAAGAAGGTGTCTTCCAGAAACTGGCAGTAGGTCTGGGAGTTGATCTTGACTCCATCATCAACCCGAAAACGTCCCACAAGCTCATCTTTAATGATACAGCCCATACCAGTACCCCACCTCCACCTTGCTGGAGTTTGAGTCGATAAGGAACTTGCTGCCCTTTACTGATCCAGCCTGGTGCCCATCCATCTGGACCATCAAGACTCACTCTCATTTCGTCACAACAAACACCTGGGAGAAATCAGTCTTCAGATATTTCTTGGCCCAATCTTGACGTTTTGTCTTGTATGTCTTGTTCAAAGGTGGCCTTTTTTCGGCTTTCCTTACCCTGGCCAGGTCCCTGAGTATTGGGCACCTTGTGCTTCACGGCACTCCAGACATGTTGCAGCTCTAAAATATGGCACAACTGGTGGCTAGCGGCTTCCTGGCAGCTTCACGCTTGATCCTTCTCAATTCATGGGGAATTATTGTGCGTCTTCTTTTTTTCTACTTGTTCTTGTGTCGCTATTGGCTATTTGCCACGAACCTCTTGATTGTGGGATGATCCTGCTTCAAAAGCTCGCCAATTTCCAAACTGCTGCACACATCTGAAAGACATCTGACAATTTTTGACCTTTCAGAGTCTGTCAAATCTCTTTTCTGATCCATTTTGCCAAAGTAAAGGAAGTTGCCTAATAATTAAGCGCACCTTATATATGGTGTTGATGTCATTAGGCCACACCCCTTCTCATTACAGAGATGCACACAGCCTGATTTACTTAATTGGTAGTTGGCTTTCAAGCCTATACAGCTTGGACTAGGACAACATGTATGAAAAGGATGATGTGGTCGAAATACTCATTTGTCTAATAATTCTGCACACAGTGTATACAGTACAAATTTATGTACTGCTTGTAAAAATACAATTTTTTTTCACAATTAAACTGCTTTTAACTAGAGATCAACCAATACAGTTTTGTTTAGGCCGATACCAATTATTTACACAACCGTCTAACGTTTCGCGGATAAATGCGTCTGATATCTTTGGGGCTGATTCTCAGAGTCGGTATTGCAATAGCTTATTCATAAACAGCTTGTTTTAAAGAGGCATGACTGAGTTTTCTTATGATGCTGCCACCTGTGGCCAAACACTGAACTGCAGCACTCTTTTGCTATTTCTCAGCATGGGCAATCATTTTATTTATTTATTTCAATTTTGAAATTAAAATTGGTGTCTGAGTTGAGCTGGATTCATCTTGATATGATGAATTTGTTTGCTAGATTTGACCCATTCAACATGGATGCACTTGACGTACCATCCTCAGAACAGTGCAGGAAATTCCGACCCGAAGTAAATTCACGAAAGTCGGCTACAGGCTTATAAATGCATCTGCGCCAAACTACTGAGGAGTCGGTCTGCTCATCAAACAATGTTTTTGTCATTAAGGGTCAAAGAAGAAGGCTATTTTAAGTCAATTTAAAGTAAATTTTCAGTAAAAAAAAAGTATATCTCTTTAAACTAAAAATATTCTATAATTATTCTATTATTAACATTTTATAAGTATTTTTAAAGATGTTTTGGGTTCAAGATCTCTCTCTTTTTATTTTTTTAAGTTTTAAATGTTTTGGTTTCAAATTGCTGTTCCCTGTTCATGGGGGCGGCGCTTCAGTGAAATCAGGTCTAGAAGGATGACTGAGGCTGTGTCTGAATGTCCGCCCTAACCAATATATTGAGCACTATATAGTGTTTACGGCATTTTAGATGAGTGTCCACATTTCTAGTGGATGAAGAAGTAGTAGACTTGAAATTACCAACAACGCACCTGGAAAAGTAATGATCATCCATGGTTACTAGACAAGCAGATGTATCCCGGAATGCTTTGCGAGAACAGCTCTCATCATAAAGCATCATGGAATTTGTTTTCACAACGGCTAAGGTAACTGATGGCGCAGGTACCGTGCGCGGGAGGCAGAGTCGCGTGACCAATGGGGAGTGAAAAGTAGTGATCATCTGTCCACTATATAGTCCCGGCTCTATATAGAGATTAAGGGGTTTAGGGGTTAGGGCAGACGTTCAGACACAGCCTGAGACTAGGTGTCTGGACAAAATATTCCCAACTGTTGCATTCAGGAACTGTGGGAACTAGAAATATCTTTAAAGCCTAATCAATAATTTTTGTTTATGTGATTTGGAATTGAAAAAAATGTTTCTGTTACTTCCAGTTTCAATTATTTTTTTAGTTCTAAAGTTTTATTTTGATTCAGATCTTTCCCCTTCTAGTTAAATATTTTTGTCTTAAAGTTTTAGTTTTTCAGTTTAAAATGTTTTCTACTTTCAGCTGAAACAGAATTTGCCCCAAATTTAGCTCCATAGAAATGCAGGGAAGCTACATTATATCCATTCCACTTGATCTGAATGCATTTAATAATTGGTCAACGTGTGCCCACTTCAAACGATTGTCGTATCAGTGTATCTCTAACTTTAAATAAGCTTTTCTGTTAATGGTTCTGCAGAAGTCTTCTGTGACGGCTCGTTGGAGGAAACTCAAGAAACTGTGGAGGAGAAAACTGCTCGACTGGCGTCTCTCCTTCTGGAGGACCTGAGCAAACTCAAACAGAGACAAGTCATCCATCCAGTGCTGCAAGAGGGTGAGTTCATTTAAACAACACAGCAGGTAGAAAGTATTGGGACTATATGAATTTATTGACCAGTTGACTCTGAATCTGTATCCAGTGGGCTTAAAGTTAAGCTCCTTAGACCCAACCTCGCCTGTTGACTTGAAGTATCTGGGTGTTTGTCTTCCACAACCTCCTTCAAGCCTGCACAGCCAGGGTAGCGCAGCAGCTAAATCTCCTGCTGGTAAGTTAGACAGATGTGGGATGGAAATTTTTCTGTCAAATACCAATCAGACCATTTTAGCAAGTTCTGGCTCACAATTCGATTAAAGTAAGTTGAGTCATTTGAAATGTGAGAACGTCTCCTCACTGGAATATCCGCTCATCAGCTGCTTACACTGCAAGAAAGCCTACATTATCTCTAGATCTGATATTGTTACATACAGGATTACTGCTTAAGTACAGAAAAGGGCTGCAGATTAAGGATCTTATGGAATGCTTGAAGATTAGATGATGCATTTATGGACTTAAACACCTAGTGACACAACAGGGGGAAAATAGAAACAATTTCCTACTAAATTAATTGAAATCATAAGCATTTAATATGTCTTGTTGAGTCACCAAGAAAATTAACTATTTAAATCCTCCTGATTTTCTTAAAAAAATACAGTAAAGTAGAAACTCTAAATTCATAATGCCATAAAATAAATAGCCATTACATCATGGATTAATAATTTAAAGACTGAAAATAAATCTTTTATTTTGTAAAGTTAAAGTACAAAGGAAGATTAAAGCCGGAGCTGATGAAAGGATTAAATGGATTAATTGAATTGATAAGGTTTAAACCTTCAATATTAGAAGTACTTTTATAAAACACAATATATAACACAAAATTGTCTCACCGCTGAAATTGGCTAAATGAAAAAACTTACCTATGGGTCTGTTGATTTCGTAAACCAGCTGAATTAGCAGCGAGTTCCTTTCAGTTGTTACGCACACCCAGAATCAATATGGAAATCATTTCACCTTCAGCTTCACCCAAACAAGTAAACTGCAAATCCCTGGAAAGGCTATAGCCGGGAACTAGTCCATATCTATCTACTGTTTGTCTTTTATCTGTGTGTGAATCGGTTAAAGGGCTGAATCATTCAGGTCTGATTTAGTACAGCCACTTGAGTCGACCTGACATTAAAATGATTCCCCTCGTGATTCACACCTTGCTTTGACGGTTGTCTCAAGCTTGTCAGGACCTGGAACTGAAACCTTTTACATAAATAGATTTGCATATGTTGGAGTTGATGGTCAAATTCATTGATACTTTATTAATTCTAGAAAGGGGATTTCCGTTTTGGTACATTCCAACCCAGAAGAAAAAAATCACAGAAAAGACAAAATATTATACATGGAGAGATGCGACGTCTGAGGCCCTGGTGCCATCAGAGGCGCTGCTCTTACAGTTAAAGAAATCATATCTCACACTTTATCCTTAGCAGGACGCAATCTGAGTTTGCAAAACAGAAAAAAAAAACAGCACAAGGAGCAGCAGGGATAATATTTGTATTCCTGTGAATTCAATGTGATCATTTCTACCTCCAGTTTAGATACTGGGCAGATTTTTATCTAGAAAAATATCAATAATGAACTCAGACGGCAAAAGAGACATAAAACAATTAGAATGGTTGACAAATGTTTCTAGCTCTGAAAACCGTTAACTTTTACTGAGAAAATCTCAAAAGCTCTGTGTCCTTGTAGGAGAAAGAGAACATAAAAAATACTCTTCTTCTTATACATCATTTCCTGTAACTCTGGCTGTCAGTTTTGTATGGGTGCATATTGGCTTCATCAGCTTGAATGTTTTACTCCTAATTTACACTGGCTCAGCTGCAGTGTGAACTCTGGTGCCGTGTGTTTCATTACCATGGCAACATTATTTTAGGCACAGGGGGGGGGGAAAATGCCAAATTTCAATTCTCCTAATTAGGCCAAAACCGACAAGTAGATAAAGTCTAGGAAGCACTGAAATTGACAGATATAAAAGTGAAATGTCCCAATAGATAACCACTACAAGACTGCTTGTAGGTATAAAAAAAACAGGTTAAATATTTTGCAAGAGAATAGAGAAAACAAAAAGGTCAATTAAATTATAAAAGATGCTTAAGACAATACAGAGGACATTAAATAAAATGTTTTTTTTTTTTTTTTTTTACTGACTAGTACATGTTAGGTGTATTGGTTGCTTTTGTTTTATCTCACTTTCAGTCTGAATGTTTGAGCGTCACTTCACTGTTTGGTAAAATGGAAAAATCTATGGAAATACTTGGATGCCAAAAAACTTCCATAGTATAAATAGATTTGGTCTGAATTCTGAATATATCCCTGGCTTTTATACTCATTATTCTTGGATGCAGAGTAAACTAAAGGTTATCCATCTTGCATATCACAAACATAAATATTATGCTGAAGTATGGTTAAAATCTGGAAACACAGATACAATATTAATGTCATTCATATAGAGGCATTGTCTGAACTTTCCCTATATTTTATTAGCTCTTGTGCATCCATCTGCTGTGGGGGTGAAAATTACAATGTTTTATTGCAGTAAGGCTGTAATTGATAATCCAATCCGGGACTTACAGCTAATATTTTAGGTACTGGCTCTAAACAAAGTGTATTTTGCTGACACTACCTCCTTTATTTGTTTACTTTTTAAAAGGGATGGGACGAGCAGAAAGCTCTGGTTTGTATTAAATGCAAGAATCAGTGCATATTTGTTTATGTTTAAATAATAAATATGTACGTGTCCTAAATTATTCTACCAAACATATTTTTTTTACATTCCTTATAAAGAGAAACTGTAAACGTTACTTTCTTCTCTTTTTACTGGTAATTTATCTCACCCCTATTTCTCATTTTTTGTTATGTCTGTTGATGTTAGAAAAAAAAAGGTTTAATATAGCGTCTAGTATGATTCGTGAAGAGAAACCCAGCTTAATGCCTCTCAGCTTTCAGCTGGGACCTTTTTTTCTGTTGTCACCCCCCTCAAACAATTACCAGCTAAGCTCATCATCTAATTAGTTTTACCATTAAAGTCGCCTTTGGAAACGTTTTGCAGCTGTCTTTATTGACCAAATGCCGTCGACTTTTAGGGATTAATGGAGCCACTTGTGCTTTGACTTCATGTCTGAAGGGCCAAACATTGCTTGGATCAGTAATTCATTATTTGTCCCTCGCAGATGAGGAGTTACCCTTTATCTCCAGAACAGGAAAAACAAGGGATGTAACCAAAATAAAGGGATGGCGGAACAAGTTCACGAAAAACCCAGAAACACCCACTTCTAATAGTGAAGGTAAGAATTGTTTCTCTTGTAGCTTTGGGGTTACTTTTTTTTTTTTTTTTCTTAATCAAGCAGTGGGATTAGTGTAGTTGTCTTAATTACTAAAAGATCAACTCAGCTGAAACCAGTAGCTTAATTCGTTTGTGTCTGATTCATTATTCTTTCTAAACTGTTTTTTTTCCCCTTCCTTCCTTAAGGATTACCAAAGAACCTGTCTGCCTTCTGCAGCAACATGTTGGATGAGTACTTGGAGAGCGAAGCTCAACAAATCAGTGAACGGGCTGCTGCCTTCTCCACACTACCAGAGGATGCTGTGTCCTATCAGCTGCCTGAGAAGGGCTCCAGTTATGTGAAAACTCTGGACAGCGCACTCAAGCACCGAAATGCTTCATCCAATGCATCTGTTGGGACCAACAAACCTTGTCCTCTTTCTCGCAAAACTTTACCTAACTCTTCTCCGGCGGCTAACCCTGATTCTGAGACCACCCCTAAAGCTTCAGATCCAGAAGGTTCTGCTGGCCGTAGTTACGCTAATGGCAATTCACAAAGGTAGGAGCAAGGCATATGTCCCTCGCTGATGCTTAGCATTTTCTTACATATCTCTTCTTTATTTGTTAATAGTCAGGTTCTTCTGCTGTAAAGTGCAAAGAAAAGTGGTAAGGCAGATTCAGGGCTGCAACTGTAGATAACTTTGCTTATCAATAAATCAGGGTATTATTTATTTTATTTTATTGATTAATAACCAGATGGCAAAAAGTGCTTTGTTCTTCACCTGGTTCAAATTCTGTAAAAATATGTGTATAGTTTATGTACCTGCACCGTGTTTTTGAGGCTAGTAACAGAAGAGAAGAAGCTATTTTTGTGTTCGGGTCCTAATGGACAGCAGCCTCCAGTCAGTGTCAAACTCTGAAGCAGCTTTTGTTCAAGGTGGGATGAGTCGGCTACAATCCTACCTGCAATTTAGACTGAGAATGTATGAAGATTTTAATTTATTTGAAAAGAATTTAGTTATATCACCAGGCTTTATTTTGCAGTGCAACATAAAACATCTTTATCAGTCACTGATAGGTGATCTTCAGTCACCCAGTTTGAGGCAAACCAGAGCACTGATTTATGTCATAATGCACTCCATATTTATGCATGTTCATGTTCATCACAGCCATAACATACATTGTCGGATGCATTAAAATGAATAGGTGAGGCTGAAAGTTGCTGATTTATGCAGAAGGGGAAAAAACTGTAAAGTGATCTAATGACCTCAAGGCTTTACAGACTTTTACATGATTGAAGGATTTCTTTTTGTTTTTCAGTCAGTATTTTGGTTCTATTCAAATTGGACACGGTCTCATACATTTAAAAGTAAGACCAGTGAAAAGCAATCTGAAGATAAAATAAGTAATAATCACAATGTCAGTTCATTGGATAACATTGTTATACCTTTAATTATCAGTATCATTTAGTTTAGCAGCAGCTATATTTGAAACTTAAACCTTATTTAACTCTGTATATAACCTTTTTTCTGTGCATCGAGCTTTTACTTTTTAATCAGTCAAAATTTTCCCATCAGTTGGTGTTTTTAATGTATTATTGACTTCGAATTTTGGTTCATTTTGTTCTGTCTGCTTCAGATTGCCAATCAGCCAGCCAGGAGCCACTCAGAGGCCCATGTTGGGCTTCAGTCCGAGCCAGGGCCCTTCACACAAGACTGCAGGCTTTTCAAGGTTCCAGCTCAAACTGATGGAAATGGAAACCGCTGCGTTGAACCAGAACCTAAGCAAAACACATCTTACTCCGGAAAGACTTTCTTCAGCTCTGTCTGTGATAATGAGTAAAGAGGTAAAATAAAAGGCTAATCAGATGGATAGCTGCCAGTGCTGACTAATGGGATAAAAGTGCCTCTTCTAAACCGCCTCTTTCTGTCAATCAGAGCATGCCTTCTGAGATCCCATTTCAAGATGTTACTGTTGGACCTCGTTGTGGTCAGGAGTTCTGCAGACTGGGCTGTGTGTGTCATAGCCTGCAACAGCACAGCGCAGTCTCCAACCACTGCAGACAGCCTGACTGCATGTTTGCCTGTAGCTGCTCCAAATGTAAGACCCTTCAGCTCTTTTGTTTTATTCTTGTTCTGACTGTGTTAGGTGGTGCTGATACTTGAACATTTACACATTTTGTCTCATATAACTGGGAAGTGGAAGAAGAGGGTAACACGGTTTGAACATTTTAAATAGGTTATATATTAAACATGTAGGCATCATATGTATTGAATCAATTCTTTAGAGGTCTCTTGCAAATTCTGCAAGTTTTTGACGTCTCTGTTTCAGCTTAGCTGCATTAAATAACTATGCTATTATTAATTCTTTATAGAGCTCCACGGCATTCTCAGGAGAAAAATCAGCATGATGATTCAGGTGTTTTAGATAATTGGTTCTAGGATCCTTCTGTCAAGAACTGCATTTGCGGATTTCTTCTTTACCCTCTCTGCACCTCTTGGTGTTAAAAATTCTGATTGTATAGAGCACGTCTCTAAAAAACAGTTTTTAAGTTTGATTGGCCAGGAAACTCTAGAAAAGACTTCGATCTGACTTCTGTAGTACAATCTAACCCTCTTTTCAACTTCTTCACAACTTTCACCTTGACCTATTTGATGTGGTCTATGAATTCCACTTTGCTGTTTATTGTTTTTTTATACATTCATAAAGAAAACTGATAAACTCAAAGAGCTGGCTTTATATTAAGATTAATTTAAACACAGGCAGGCTCAGCATATTGGTTTTAATCTTGGGTGTTAATTAAACTGGGTTGAATATAAAAGTTCATTCGGTCATATTGCAAAAGACTGTTTTGGCCTGAACTAAAGGTTTGCAAATATAAAAAAAACGCATGCAAACTCTTAAAAACACACAAAACAGATCTACTTGAGTATACTCTCTAAAACAAGCACAACATCAATATTGTATTTGTTTTCACGAATATGCACAACTATGATGATAATCAGAATTTACAAAATACTGGGAGAAGGGTGTTAAAAGGTAATTACCAACTACCTGCAACTCAGTTTATCAAAAAACGAATCTGATTCCATGTGCAGCTTTTGTGTCTATATTGTTCATCTCTGAAAGTAACATGCAGCATTGCTCGCAAAAATGTCTGCAGTCATTGTGCCTATAAGAAGGCATTGAAGCTCAGTCAAAGATGGCAGAAAGAGAGAAAGTCTGTTCATATTTTGACATAAGACTCTCAGAAATGACAGGAGTACAGACATGTCAATCCAGCAATGCCAGGGTTTGATCTCAGGCAATGTTGTGCCAGTTCATAGTTAAAATGAATGAGCTCAAAGTTCAGTCCGCACAGATGAAAAAGATCTTGCTCACATTCAAAGTTCACATTTTTTCAAAAATTAGCTACGTTCACAAACCTATCAATTAACTAGTCCAGGTTCATTTAGTAAATTAAGCCAAAATCCGGCACAATAGAACATAATATTTCACTCTTTAAATGTTTGATTAAAAAATTAAAAATATTTGATGCATTTTAAGGTCTACTGTGTGTGCAGTGAAGCCTTTATTCAGCTGAATAACACAGAACTTCAGGAACACACAGGAACATTCAGGTTCTGCTGAAAAGATCTGTATCAAATAGATTTTTTATATTCTCATTCAGTAGCAGATTTTCCCAAGATAGCTCAGATGCTCGATGTGTTGCTTTAAATTTGAAGTGAACGTGGCTGACCTACAGACTCTTCTAAGCACTCTACAAAACTGGCATCAGAAATAACAGTACATGAGTCGGAAGCACGCAAACTAGTACTAGCATTAGACATGCTGGTCTGTCCTGCTGTTTGCCATATCAAGTGTCGTAAAACCCGACAATGAAAAGTGGTGTTATCATTGAATGTGAATGTGAGCTGTGTTTCGCTCATTATTCTCAGAGGGAACATCGCTCTTGTTCTTTACTTCAAAACTGATCCGTTCGGTCCACTGTCCACTAAATATATGAACGTATTCAGTGAAGGTCGTTCATTGAACGTATTCATGAACAAAACTGATCTCAGGGCTCGAATAGGAGCTGCAGGATTACAATTAATGCAAACAATTAAAGCAGAGGTCAGATTAAAGCAGCATGACTATAGACCAACACCATGACTAACTGTAGATACTCTGCCATGTTTACAAACAAAAACAACTGAACATTAATGGCCACCAGTGGAGTGTTTTCGCTGAAAAAAGAATGCAATAAAATGTAAAAAAGTAACGATACCCTTTAAAGAAACATAGCAGAGCCATGATCCTCCTACTACCTCCTGTTGTTTTCTTGGTCTTTTTGAGCAGTAGTAACATTTGGCTATTGATCACCTGATTCTTGGGAAGTGGGGAAAAAAAACATTTACATTGCAATTTTGCAGAATGCTCTAATTTCAGTATGGATGAAATTATTCGCAGCACAGTTTTTATTGTTTTTGTTTTTTTATAGCTACAGTTTGCCTAATTTGATGGTTAATGGTAAGACAGCTAATATTGCATGCGTCACCAATCGTGCACAGTATTCGTAGATGACACCCACCAATACAATACAATTTGATTGCGCAACCAATTTAGCACTCCTAGTTTGGGATCTCAGTAGTTCAGGGTCCATATTTGTGAAGTAAATGTATTTATTAAAAAGTGAAAAGATTTTCCTTTTTGCAGAAACAAAAAAATTAAATGTATATCTGTCCACCTGCTTCTATTTAAGATTGAGGAAAAAGTCAACTGAAGGATTTTGTCCTCTTCTATATCTCTCATAGATATGGAACAATGGGCCCAGCCTCACTTTGTTGGTAAACTGTGGAACCGCAGCGTTCTAGATGAGGATCTAGAGCCGCTTTACACTCCAAAAACTGCACGGAAGGTCCAGAAAACCTGGACTTATTGTCCTGCACCCCCGGTACAGTAGCATTCTGCTCCTCTATTGGATCATGTTTTTCTCATCCATAGCCATGCTGTTAATAGTGATTAAAAATGAAAATGATTGTAGATACGCGAGGAGGATAAAGATCCCGTCTACAAGTATCTGGAGAGCAAGATGACGTGTGCCCGCGTCAGGGAGTATAACAGCCTGCCACCACCCGTCATGACCTTGCACACTGCACTCTCACAACTGGACAACGCAACGCAGAATGCTGATAAACAGGAGAGCATTGTTGAAGCCACAGATCCAAAACCAGGTAAGGAATTATTCGATACAAAAACACTTAAAAGGCTGCTGTCTAATTTCATATCTCTTATATTGAATACGTGCATATTGGTTACTTCTGTGCTAATGCTCTAGAAACACCTCTGGATACCACAGCTGTAGCAAGGAAAGTCAAAAAGCAAATCCAGATCCAATCATTGTGTCAGTGGAAGAAGGATGGGAAAATGGTGCTGAAGGGTCTGTGTGAACGCCTGAACCAGGACCGGCTCCACCAGCGTTTCTGCATCGGACCTTACTGCGTCCGCCCTGTGTCCAGACTTGTCTTAAAGAAACCCAACGTCACCTTGATCACCTACAGGGTAGGTTTATGACGTGATGTGGCCCATGGTCAGTGGCAATCTAATTTAAAGTGTGTTGTAGAGTGACCAGATTATTTTATTTTATCCTAAATTCTCCTAGATGCAAATCAGTAAAGCAAAAAAAGGGAGCAGCTGTAAGGAGGAATCTGTTGAAGGTGAGAAGTGTGACGACGGACGCGTCGATGGACATGCTAAGGAAGAAGTAGCAGAGGAACGACTAAATGGAACGACTCCCACTGGGAGGCTGAGAGCCCAGAAAAAACCCTCAGGCTGTAAAGCCTCTGGACTCATCCAGGTACTCTAAATCAAGGCCATGCACTTTGCTAAGGGTGTATTTTCATTTAGTCCTTAATTATATCAGTTTTATTTTCAAAGAAACATAAGTCTCAAGATATTTTTTTCCAATTTAGCTGCAGTTACTGTAATGGGATCTGCTTGGCTGATACTAACAAATATCCTTGTGCAGACCAAAGATTTGAGTTAACAAAGGCGTTTGGATATTCCAATGGACATTAGTGAATAAAAGAGGCACTGGTTTTATGTTAAAGAAGCTTTCTCAGTCTGAGATGATGAGAAATCTAAATTGGAGCTAAATTGTAAAGCAGAGGATTTAGTTTTTGTACATAAAGGTGTTTGAAACTTCATTAATCATCATAAAGAATAATTGTCGTTAATGTTCTCTATTTTTCTATCCTTTTTAATACTAAAATGTGACTTTTGCAAATTACTTACTGGTTAATAACTGCAAGAATAATCCATGGTTTAATAAAAGCTGTTTCTATAAAGTGCCACCTAGTATTAGAATGTTATATAAACTATTTTAAACATTCAACCTACTTACCTGAAATTCAACTTCTAGGTGAAACCACGTGTGAAACAATCATTTTCGAAAACAAATTTCTAAGACGATAGCTTATGCTTTCTTTGTCCACTGCTTTTACCCATCGCCCCAAGCATTAATCCCTTGGCTCTCAGTGTGGCATTAATTATGAAATTATTTACAACCACTTTCACCTATGATTAGAGGTCATTTGCAGGTTTCGGTGTAAACGGCTCAAATAAAGTACATATGCAGGCTTTTAATGGACATGCGCACATGGCTCATTGGGGGTTATTAAAGCAATAGGAAGGAGGTTACAGAGGAAGGTGGAGCTTCAACATCATAGTTGAAAGAAAAAAAAAATCAGTTCATGGGTAAAACATGAAACCGGTGTAATAAGAAAGCTTTTTTTTTTTTTATGACCCGGTTTCAAAAACGATTGTTTACGCTCTCCCACAACGCAGCCTTCGTTTGGATGCAGAGCTTAAACAAAACACCTTTACATTTCCACCTAATTTCTATGTGGATGGAGCCCAAGTTCATTAGCTAAATGTTATCAGGGTTTTTGTGCATTTTAGTGATGAGCTCCTCCTCTGAACAGGCTTTTATTGTATGTTGTTCAACCTCAAACCTTTCATCTAAGGTTTATCTGCAGGAAGACACAGAGCCAGTCATGTTTTTCCATGCTTTAAAGAATGAACAAGACTTTTTAAACTCCAGCTCTCCTGATATTCCACCTGATTTCTAATGGTTAATTATGAGATATTGACGCTTTATGATTTATTTTAACTATTCCTGCCGATACCCTAATGCAGATATGTGTTTTGTTGCAGGTCAATGATAAATACTACAATCACGCTACGGTGCTGCTGGGTAGAATGGGCTCTCTGCATCCAGCTAACCGCCTGGCAGCCCTCGTCACAGGCAGACTGCAAGTGGATAAAAAGCCTGAGAAGAAACTGTCCAAGAACACAGCCAACACACCGCAACCACTGCATCTAAAGGCTGCAAACGCCTTTATCCCTCTGGCTATGGACCAGAAGACAATACAGCATCCAAAAGGTGAGATTTTCTCCATCTTCCATCTCAGCTCCAGATCACTGTAATTATTGTCGGTTTGCAGTTTAAACCCATCACACCACTGTCAAGCTTGTGTTTTGGACAAATCCAGCAGATCTGTCATGTTGTTTTGTTTCTAACTCCTTTTCCATGTTCTCTTTTTTCCTCAGCTGATTTACTCAAACCAAACTCTTTAAGTAACATTCCAAACAACATGGCGCAAGATTCACAGAAGTCCCAGTGCCTAAGCCCCTCTGCCCAGCTGTTCATCCCAGTCCAGCCAAACATCCACAGCAGCTCTACGTCCTCACCCGTCTCGCTCACAGTCTCTCCGTCTCTGAAAAGCCCCAGCTTCCTGGCTGAGAGCGGGACATACTCATTCAGAATCTGCCCTCCATCCACCCAGGCCGGTGGAGGCCAGCAGCCGCCCGGTGTAGCCCTGCCGGGAGGCTTCACCCTCATCCAGCTTCCAAAACCCGGAGCTGAAGGAGCCACAGAACAAGCGAGGTCGGCGAACTCTGCAAGCAACGATTCATCCGAGAACAAAGGCAGAGCTCCTAATCTAAACCAGCTGATGGAGTGTGTTGGTTTTGACACCTTCAGCAAAGTCCGGAACTTACTAAGCAGCAACGTGCTCGATGCTGACCCCTCCTCTGGTCGGCCTTCTGAGAAGATGGAGTCAGAGGGGAACAGTGAGGAAGATGAGCTGCTGCAGACGGACAGTCAGTACTTTGATATGTCCCCAGAAGAATTAAGCTCCTCCGACTTTTCAGACGATGATGAATATGAAGAAGAGGTAAGACCTTAGTTTCCATTTGTTAATGTTCCGTATTTTCGTATCGTCGTGTGACTCTTAAACTCCATTTTCTTCAGAATGAGATGGTGGACATTGAAACTGTAGATGGAAAACAAGTAGAGTCCATTTCTAAACTACAGGAGCAGGCTTCTGTGGGATTACATCAGTCGAGGTAAATTTGGACCTTTTCTCATTGAAACATCACAAATCCTGACACATGACTAAACTTCACTGCCTGTCTTTGACTTCAGGGATTCTGCAGATGGTTACACACATGTGAAGGAGCTCAATGAACCGGTAGGTAACATATTCATAACAAACCTGATAATCTTTCTTACTCCTTCTGAACATTTCTAAATAACCAAACCCTATCCTCCTGGAGTTAAGTGCACTGATTCTGTTGTTATTTATCAAAAGGCTGAGATGAATGCTGAGCACCAAAACACGAGGGTACGCAGGACCCACTCGATTTTGGAGAAGCAGAGACGATGTGAACAGCGAGTCCTGTTCGACAGACTGCAGAGTCTTCTGAAGCTGGATCACCGATCCTCCAGGCTTCATGTGCTTGAAGTGGTCAGTAGTGGAATCCTAAGACTTGATCCCCGTAACTGCACCCTGCTAAAGATGATTGTTAAGATTGTATGTTTAAGACCACAGATTCTTCTGTCTGGACTTTGACTAGGCCATTCTAACATGCTGATAACCTTACGTACGTTTTCATCCTGTCATCACAATGATAAATCAAAATGAATAGTTTGAAAACTTCCTAGAATGGCTGAATTTTCAGAATACTGATTTTTTTTTTTTTTTGTGCTAACAGAGCAGTTCTCCATAACTTTACAATCCCTTTTTCTATATATTACAGCTAATGAAACCACAACCCCCAACCCCTCCCTTTATAATAAAGGGAAAAAACATACAAAAAAAAACAAGAATAGGCACATTTTCAATGGCTCGCTGTGTAAAATTATGTTAGCAACTTTTTCCCACTTGTTTAAAAAAGTATATTTCTATTTAGTCAGTTTATTTTAGAAATCCACTGCCATTAGCCAATGGAAAAATAAGGCCAACACTTGCTTTTGCTATTATATCTAATTATTTGTGATTAATAGATTATTGAAATAATCGTCAACTAATTTAGTAATTGATTAATTGTTAACTGGAGTTTAGAGACTGTAAAACATGCCTTTGGGTGACAGATCAACCAACCCTTTAACATTAATTATACCAAAATGAAAAAGAAAAAGTATAACATTTTGCATTTAAGGTAAAAGCTTATTCTTCTGTTAATATGCTGAATCCAGAACTCTTTAAGTGGAAAGATTTTAGTTTGACCTGGTGTGATTTTGTAACAAATCTTATTTAAGGAACCTTTGGTAATCTGATTATTAATCGATTAGTCGAAAAAATAATTAACAGATGAATCGATTTGCAAAATAACCATTAGTTGCAGCCCTTATCTATATAAAAGAAGAAAACTGGCTCTTCTTTTTGTAAGAAAGAGCCATTGTCGAGTGTCTAAAGATTTCCCCGCAATAGAGCATTAATTAATTTATCAACTGGATTAACTGAAGTTCCTGTGGACAGTTTTGTGCTGAAAATCAAGCTCTTTATTAACATGTGTAGTGATGAAGTCCTATTTTCAGTGGGTGTGGGGCTTAGATTGCTGTACCATCTCTCCAGATAACTATAAAAAAGATTACAAGTATTTTTTTTATGATCACTTCTATGGTTCTTTTTTTTTTTTAAACCATGCTTTTTTAGCTTCTACAATGGTGCATCATTTAAACTTCCAGTGAAAACACTTAAAGGTTTGTGGTTTTAGTTCTGATTAGATATAGAAGTTCATGAGGGGTGCTGTTTTTTTAAAGGGCATTTTAAACGCCTGTATTGATTTAAGAGATGTCAATGGGTTTAGCTAGTTACAGCTTTTTTTTTTAGCATATTTAATATTTGAATGCATATATTATCCCTTTTTCTTTATAATGTTTCCAGGCTCTGAAAGAAATTAAAAACCTGCTCAAGGCGTCCAGGTGTCTTGAGACGGAGAGACGGAGGCTCACTCGGGACCAGTCTGTCCTGTTAAAGAGGCTCTCTGTGTTGGCTGGTAAATAGTTTGTTTGATCAACAGATTTCATCTTTGTCTCAGAGTGGGAGATGCAGCCGCTCACGGTGTTTGTTGTTCTTCAATCATTCGTGTTTAGGGAAGCCCGAGAACCTGATTCAGAAAAAGCTGAAGGAGATCTTTGAGCGGCAGAAACAGCGCGAGAGGAATATGAAATGGAAGCCTTTCTTTTCTCATCTGCTGCAGAGCAAAGCTGCTCTTCTTCAAGCCACTGCTTCTTCTCCTGATTCCGAGTCGTCCTCTCCTCCGCAGCATGACCTCAGCCCCGAGGTTCAAACCAACCAGTCGGACACTGCAAAAAAAACCTTTCAGATGTTACTCTCTATGTTTCATTCTTCAAAAAAGATGGAAAAGACCCCAGAGCAGCTGGCTGGGGACAAACGTTTGCAATCTCAACCTAAAGTCTTGCAGACTGGGGTTCAGCGGAAAAAACCCGGAGCTTCAAAACATCCACCTTCACAGCTAGATGGGAACCAGAAATCTTCTGGAAACTCGGGGCAGAGCACTGGGGCTGCTTCTGGAACAACGGACCAACAGTTGTTGGATACAAACAATCCTGGATCATCAGGAGTTGTAAAAAGAACCATAGTCGTCCCTTCAAGGCCGTTTGCAGTTCCTCTGATTCGATCTAAAACTGGCAGACTCATACTCCCCTCCTCCCTGAAACCACGTAAGCTAACAATAACCTTTTGATCTATAAGTTTGCCTCTCAGTGTTACATTAATGTCACAGTCAATTCAAGCAACTATTTGCATTTACCAGCCATGTATTAGTTCTACCTTGCTCCGGTAGGTCCCTTTATGCTACCAGAACTGCCCTACTATCCATGTCACAGTTTTAACACGGTCTCAGAATTGCTCTGTAGACTTTAACGTCCATTTTTACTTGATAACGTCACACAGCTGCTGCAGACTCTTTGGTTTCACCTCATCCCAAAAGACAGTGAGACTAAACCAGTAGAGGTGATGTTTAGTTTCTGACCCTGTCATCAGACCTTTTGTTGGGTTTTAGTGAGCAGGGATGAGGGTACCCCAGATTCCAGTTTTTAGATGACAGAAAGATCCGGTTAGTTCTGTGGATGTGGTCCGTCAGCTTGCTGCTCAATCATTCTGCATACTTTGGTTGTAACAAGAAACTGTTAAAGCTTCTGTTCCCTTTTATAATCCCCATCCAGTTGACCCATTATTCTCTGACACAAGGCCTATTTTAATCAGCCAATTGATGCCGAATTTATTTATTTTTTGTAAAGCCAAATGGTTCTTTGTATTTCTAAAATAAAATGGATTTGTGGTTTAATCAGTAATTACTGATAAATACCCAAACACATGAAAACATTAGGCGTACTTACCGTTCCCTTAAACTTTCTATTTTTGTTTGAAAGCCCATTTAAAAATAAACATCTCAATTCCTCACTGTGATAAGTTTAGCTTTGATTGTTTGATAACTTGTTCTATCTCCTCACAGTGGGGAATGGTGGTTACACTCTGATGCTGATGCGGTCCAAGAGGGCGATACCGGCGTACCAGCCCAGCTCTTCAGCGACTGCAGAACCTTTGAGACCGAACCCTTCCAAGAGATCAGAGAACTCCACCTCTTCTTCTAAGCAGCCTCAGGAAGCCAGAAGTGTGACGATGGACGAATCTGAACCTTCGGATTCCCTTCCAAAGAGTTCAGGTGTTACACCTTTAGTCAACCTACTAGGCCCTCAGGAGAACCAAGAAGGGTCCCTTCCCTTCCTGATAAATGCTTCAACGGTTGGCCTGTGTTTGAAACCTGTAGGTCAGGTTCCTCCTGCTACTGAACCACAGCAGAATTCCAGCCCTCTGTTTGTCAGCTTCCAAAGCGGCGGCCCTTCGGATAGCCAGACTGACATAGAACAGACCAGGGTGAGTGCCGCTGGGATACAGCAGGTATCCGAGCTGGAACAAAACGCTTTCACTGTGAAGGACATTAGAAACGGGGTACTGGACGCCTCAGGAGAGCCGAGGGGAGTCGGAGACAAACCCGTCCTGGTCAAACGAGGCAGAGGACGACCTAGTGGGAAGAAAACAGCACAAGGTCGAGCTTTGGCTGTAAAGCGAGCACGAAGTCCAGACTCCCTCGTCAAATTTTCTATCTCCAGTTCAACAAACTCACAAGGGGCCGCGTTAACCTCCAGGCCGTTAACACGTGGCTCTCTGGGAAAGGACTTCCCCAGCGAAAAGAAACGCTCCTGGAAAGATTTGGAAAAGGAACTGGAACCAGAACTGGAACCGGAGCTGGAGTTTATGTAGTTTCAGGGTTTAAATGGACCTTCTCAGTTTGGTGCCTCGCAGCTCTCTGTTCAAACCGGAAGTTTGCCTCCTTCTGTTGTTAACTGGTGTCAGCATTAAATAAAAGTTTCACCACGCGTGCCTGTTTAAATAATGAATAAATAAACCATCAGGGCCTTTCTTTGCCACTATACACTGCTGCTGCTGCTGTCTTTCGATGTTTTTTTAGATACGGTCATGAACTGCTATCAAACTGTAGAGTAGAGCTGAACACCAAGAAAATTACTGACCTGCTGAATGTAGAAGCAAAGTGTCAGCTTTACATCAGAACGCTTTCTAAGATAAAATTATTGTGACTTAACCCTTTTTTTTTATGGATTACTAACTTAATTATGCTTTACATAAACTTGTCTGTTAGGGTTTTCAGAGTGTTCTAAACTTCAGAAGGGACAGTACTACCCAACTATTTTTATCGTCACAAGAAAATATTTTTTTAGTTGCACTTTATGTTTCCTGTAGAACTAAAACAATAAGATGTTTATTTCTCTATTCTGTATGAATTTAATCTGTTAGAAATAGCCTCTGTGAATATTTTGTTCACTTTTGTTGTTTTTTTAATGGAAAACTTTGGTTATGCTTATTTTGAAACACTGGTTGTTAATTTGATTAATAAAATATTTGGTCTTGAAATGGAAGTTTTTTAATTTTATGTTGGAAAGCAGTTTGCCATATAAAGGAGCATGCTTTTTGAAGTTCTTCAGAAAGGACAACCACAATTGGAAGGATTTTATTTTACAGAAAAATTAGATATTGTAAAGTCTCTAAAAAAAAAAACATAAATTCTAAGGTATTTATTCTGCAGTTCAGCTGAAAAATTGTTCTCTCATGTAATGGGTTCCTTTTTTTTGTCTCCCCTTCGAGATTCTGACTGAGGAATGTTCAAGATCTCCGTCTTAGTCAGTTCTGGGTCTTTCCTAAGTTCTTATTGGATGTTCCAGGAAAAGGAGGCCTCCAGTGGACTTTGCTGGTCAGATACCAGAACCACTTTAACTGCCTCATTTTAAAGAGAATAAGCAGAAGTTTTTACTTCAAGCTCACCCTGCTAATGGAGCCTCTCAACTAATCTTAACTGATTTCAGTCAGAATATAGAGGTGCAGGTAAACCCATATTTGCTCTTACTTCAGCAGATCAAAGCAGCGCCAGCTTTGCTTCAAATGAAGCCTTCATCTCCTGCTCTTTGCTGCCATCGCTTGTGAACAGACGCCTCGATACATAAACCTGAAGATTTTGATAGAATATCATCTTAACAGGCAATGATGAGATCCTGAGGTTCACAAACCAGACATCTACCTCTGCTACGCCATTAGATTCTGTCCACACACAAAGCAAAGTAAAACTACATGAAGCAATGTGGATTTAAGAGCATATCTGGGTTCATTAAGATGCAGAGAAATAAAATATGCCTGGCTATACCTCTCTAGCAGAGTGTTGTCTGCTTTGATGAACATCTGAAGAAATATAACCCCAGAGTATGATCCCTCCACCACCATGTTTTACAACAATGCTTTTTATTTAGTGATTGTTCAGTAATTGTCCAGCATTAGAGCTCAATGTTCCAATCCCAAAATTGATCCAATCTAAAGCCTATTCTGCCATAAGCCTTGACAGTATTTTCAGTGAAGCAGATCAGATGGCAAAAATGACCACTCAGTGAGGAGGAATGTTCTCAGAAAACGTGGAAATATTGCAGCACCTGAACATCAGATATGAAGCTTCAGCACATAAGGAACGACCAAAGAGACCAGAGTCAAAAGCATTTCAACCTGTGGGAGGGAGAGGCTGATATTGTTGGAGGATGTTTGATAGATTACAGTCACACAGCAGCTAAAAAAAAAAAAAAAAAACATAAACTAAACAAAAAATAATTTAAAAATGTTTGAAAGCTTCCCAAATTAGACACAGGAACTTTAAATCTTTTCAAAATATTTTATTATTCAGCAAATAAAAATTTATCTTGACTTAAAACTGGAAAAATATCTCACAATAAGAAATTTTTTTTTTTAAACAAGTAAGTCCAAATTTATGTTTTTACTGGTATATTTTTTATGTTAAGAAATATATATAAAAAACAAATCTGCTTCCCTTTTCAAATGTTTGGTATCCTTGAAGGACTAAATGATTTCAGTTGAGAAAAATGGAGCATCTAGTTGTTCTCTGCATTAATTGCTTTTAACCTTTAATGCCCCCTCATTCTATAGAGAAAGGAAAACAGTGTTTGATTTCTGGAGAAAGTGCAAATTATCTTGAACCAGAAAAACAGTAAACTATTAAAACTTTACCAATCCTAAATGAGGATGGAAGGCAAAAGCATCAAAAAGGGGAGAACATCCTTTGATTAGGTCCAAGTTGAAGAGTGAATCATAACAGCCATTCTAAAAATTCTAAATAGGACCCTGAATTACTTATCCATCAGGAGCCGACTGATGTGTGCGATTATGGAGCCTTTTAGTCTCCAACAGCAGCCTGGAGCACAAACATCCGCCAATCAGATGCCGGGCTGGCTCCCTATTCCTCTGTAATCCCATTAAACCAACAGAAGTCCAACAAAGGGAATCATTGATGTAATCATGGGACTTGCAGTTCACATTAAAGCCATTCAGTTCCGCAGGTCTGCGTTCAGACGCAGCGTATTTTGCGCAGAAGTGAGCGCTCTGGAGCAGGATAAACCCCGCAGAGATTAGGATCCACATGTCCCTGCAGCTTCAGCGCTGTCACACTTTAAGAGTTTACTCCTAGAAGAGGATCTGTCTCCTGCTCCTGGTTTTTATTACCTGAGGAAGGAATCACCATGCCTGGCGATGGGTTCACCATCACAAGCCGCATCAGGAATTTACTGCGCACTCCATCAATGAAGAACAAGAAGAAATGCAAGGAAAACCTCTCCAGCAAGGTAGGAACTCACCCAAAGTTCCTCCTAGAACTCGATTTGTAGCTGACTTTGGTGTGAACAGCATCCAGGTGTATAGCGCATCAGTGAAAGACTTTAAACATCTAAATTTCAAGCAAAGAGTACACTGCAAAAACTGAAGTCAGTTTTTCTTAAAATAAGTGAATTTTTTTACTGAGCAGGTAAGTGAGATACTTTGCAAATGGAATAAGAAAAATAACATTTATAATAAAGAAAAAAAAAATGCAGTCTCCTATTTGAAGTGCATAATATCAATCTGATTTTAAGAATAAAAATGCACCTTAAACTGGGATATTTTCTTATTTACCTACCCAAATTAAGGGTAAATACACTTATTTTAAGACATTTTCACACATTTATAGATAATTTCTGTAGTGTGTTATTGGAATCCAGGACAAGGCTTTATTACCTTTGTAACGTTCAAAAAATATGTATATTTTGATGGCATAAATGAATGTCAATGTAACAAGAAACGCCAACTTGCCCGTATAAATAAAAAAACAATTACTTCTATAAGAAATTCATGAAAAACACTCTGAGAGTAAAAGAAATGGCTCCATTTGTAAGGGGTATGCAAGTGATCAAAAATGATAACTTGCCCTATAAAGGGTTAAAACAAAGTTAAAGGGTGTTTCTGTGGAGTGCAAGATGGTCCAAAACATGACCTGGGGTCCATTTATGATCACTGAAACATAAGCAGATTGAATAAGGAGCAACACAGGTTTCATATTTTATTAATGACTTTGCTTTCAGTCTACTTGATTTTTGTTTCATTATAAGACCATAAGCATTCAGTGCTTTCTACTTCCAGGTAACCAATATCTGATCATTAAAATGAGCTCAGACCTAAAAGTCACCTGCCTGTTATTGTTTAGATTAGGCTAAAATAGCACTCAGACCAGTGGAATGAGAAAATTAAACATTTCACAATCTTCATTTTTTATTAAGAGAAACAGGAAAAACACAACATAAGTTTTGAATCTGCAAAGATCAATTTTCTTAAGAAATCAGGATGTATATGTATATTTTTTTTAATTCTTTGTAAAATAAAACCCATTTGCTTTGTTATTGAACAGGTAAAATCAAAAAGTTGACAAAAGATTTTTTTGTTTTTAAAGGAAGTTTTTGTTTTTAGATAAAAAATGTTTATATATTTTTTTTCCAACTGGCGAATACATTTGTTCCTCTACAACCTAACAGTGAGGTTTAGATATGTGTATAGTAAAACCAGAACTGGTGCTTTTTATATTTTAATATAATTTATTTAGAATGCCACATGGCACGACACATTATATATCAAGGCACTTTACAGAGTTATTTTGTAATTTGGAACTCTATTTTATTTTATAATAATATTGTTACCACCATACAAGAGATATGTAAACAAATTCATCTGCTGGTTGCTTCTTAGGACCTTAAGTCTAATTTGAAATAGGTTGAAATCTATTAATTTATCTTTGTTTTATAGACATTCAAAGCAACCAACGTTTCTAGGTTTGTGATACACTCATTTTAATTATTAATTTATTAGAAATCTGCTTTAACTTGGAGTGATCCCCAGATTAAATTCTGTTTAGGCTTGTGTAAAATGTTTGGTTGGCTTTACAGGCCAAGAACAAACAGCAGGACTATGATTATGTTGGCCCAATATTGTTCCAATCAGCTGTTTAATCTGTTAATATGAAAGCATGTTTGTTAACAGGACACCATAAACCCATTTGCTTTAACTTAACCCTTCAACAGTACTTTTAAATCACTCTTTGTATGTGATGAAAAAAGTGAGTTGAAAATACAAAGATGAAGAGCAGCTCATAGTTCAACATTCAAGAAGTACTGAAGGACATTATAGAAAAAAAAAACATTTCCTTTAAAGGGCCTTAAAAAGGGCTTAAGCCAGAAAAATTATTTTCCTCTTAAATTTTCAATATTGTTTATATGTAAGTTCGGTTTTTTATGTTTTATTGTTGTGCATCTCCATGTTGTCTGATGTATCTTAGTTCCATTGCATCCCATCTTGTCACTGCTTTGCATTACATCCACTGAACCTGATGCTTAGATATGCAACTATTGGCTTCCATCTGTCTATCCATTTAAAAAAGAGTAATTTGCTCTACAGGTGACTTTGGAGAAGGTGCTGGGGATCACCACTTCAGGAAACAGTGGATTGACCTGCGATCCCCGATCTGGACTTGTGGCGTATCCTGCAGGGTGAGACAATTATCCTAACATCTGCTCTTTGACTTATCAGCAGCAGACATGGTTGCTTATCATATCTACCTCTGGCAGACGTTTAGTGTGCACTTTTCTGTGATCAGGTATTATCTTCAAATTATCTGAGGGGATCTTAGGAAGAGGAAGGCCCATTGGACTCCCTCAATCAGAGAAAGTCCAAATCGTATTCATGGCTTCCTTAGGGACATCCTTTATGTCTCTGTGAGATAAACAGCTGAAGTTCTCTTTTCGGTTAAGGTCCAGGTTTTGGACTGGAATGTTAACATTGGTCTGGTTCTGAAACGCTACCCACCTCTTAACATGCTGCCTTCTTTTCAAAGAGTGTCATCATAGCTCAAAGCATTCTATGAGCATTATTAAAACTTGAGACTAATGTGATAATAATTCCCCTACCATGACACTTGTGTGATCATGCTTCAGAATGTAGTGTAGATTATGTTTAGTGTCTGAGTCTCATCTGATAAACTGC